AACACGATACAAAGGGAACAAAACATGAATATACTCAAGACACCAATAACCCCAACAACAGTGACCACCAGAGAAAAGAGAATTGGGGGAGAGAAAAGAGAGAAAAAATGATATTGAGGAAAGAAAAAAATGGTAAGAAAGAAAAGAAAAAGAAGAAAAAGTAAAAAAAAAAACACAAAAAACATATATACGTGGGGAGAAAGCACCACAGGAAAAAACGATAAATGAAAAAATGCAAACAGCGAACACTCAGAAAAGAGGGTGGGGGCAGACTCTGTAGAGGCAGAGATTATATACAGAAAGTAAGGTTAAGAAATTGAATGAATATGGGGAGGACCTCAGTTCAGTATAGAGGTGGTAGAAAGAGGATGAGTGGAAAAGAAGAAAAAAAGAGAAAGAAAAAAATTTAAAAATTAAAAAATAAGATAAAATAACAAAAAATAGAATGAAGAAAAAATAATGTGAAAAAAATAAACAAAAAACAAAGAAAATAAAAAAATTTTTAAAATAAAAGATAATTTTTTTTAAGTGAAGTGTTGTTCATTTCAGCTGAGTTTTAATGCCCCATGGGGGCTGGTTTAAGATCCCACTCTTCTGCACTGTCTGCCACTTCTCAGTTTCCTGTTAGGCAGTCAACACCATGTTGAAGTTCCACATGATCCACCGCTCCTCTGTTTGTGTCTATCTCCACCGCCTTGACTGCCAGCAGGTGGGACCAGTCTGCCCATTTAGCCTGTCTGCCTCTGTCAATCTTAATCTCTCAAGCGGCTGTTTCTGACAGAGCTTTAGTTAGGGAGGTTGCTGTATTGTTTTCTGGGACTGAATGGTCTCTCTTCAACCCAGTCCCTGAGGGCTCTTAGGGGCTATTCAGATTTTTTGTGTCCTTTGTACCACTCAGGGTGTAGTCTGGGTGTGGCTGTATTTTTTGTGTCCTTTGTACCACTCAGGGTGTAGCCTGGAGACTTCTGGGAGGAGCTAAGCTCTTCAGGAGAAAACGGCTGCTTAGGTCTGGAGTGTCAGGAATGTCCCAGTGCCAGACTCCCGGTCACTTCTCCCCGACCTGCTCTTCTCCACAGCCTCTCCCCAGACTCCACAAGTCCACAACTCCACCTGCACCTCAGTCACGGGTAAGTGTTTTTATTTGAAAGGTCCTATGAACTGGGTTTAGCGAATAAAAGCAAAGACCAAGAAGAGGGAAAAGAGCTTCGCCATTGTGAGTTTCTCTCACCCTGGTACCACACAGCTTGGGCAGTTCTTCAGGCTTCCCCCTCTGGGCTCAGCCTCTTCTGGCTGTGGACTTAGATCTATAATCCCCTGCCACTAACAGTCCTGTAGACTTCCTTTCCACAGGCAGAGGGACACAGACTTAGTGCTGTGCAGCTTCCTTTTTACCCTCTTTGTTTGGAGGTCTCACAACTCTCTCCAGCCCAGATCCCCAATCCTACCATTCTCTGCGTGTCCTCTGCCCTTCCCAACTGCAAATTGTCTCACCAGCTGTTTCTACTTCACCAATTCCAGCTGGATGTTATTCAATTTAGATGCTTTTTCTATCTGCTCTGAGATAAGGCTCAGGACACGTCTGCCATTTTGGCTGCCATTTTGTGTCCTCCCTCCCATTTTTTTCTATAGGTATTCTTAAAGTTTAAGATGCATTCTTCCAAGGAGAATTTATATTTCATCTGTCAGCCTCTGTCAGCACTACCAACTCAGAAACTTTATAAATTAAATTCTTGAGTGCATTTAGTGTAAATTGTAACCTTAGACTCATCTGTGGACTGCTTTTTGGTTAGGAATTCTCATAAGGAACTACCTCTTCATCCCTTTACCAAAAGCTAAGTCCAAAACTGCCGATGTTCCTTACTAACACCCGTGGGTTGTAGGGAAAATTAGTTCAGTCACATTGGTGTCACTTTCTGTAGGTCCCTCATGGTCTTTGATCAAAAGTCCTCCCTTGCCTGGACCCTGAGCTCTATCCTCTGTTCCCAAGCATGGCCTGTGAAGAATGAAGTTCTAGGTCATCAAAGACTGGCACAAATACGGAAGAAAGCTGCCACCTGCACATACTTGTTTCTCTCTCCAGGTTTGGGCTTTTTGTCATTTTTTTTTGTTACCTCAGATGATTTCTTTTATTTTTTGCCAACTCAGCAATGCTTTAACCTAGCTTCTTTGCCATATTGCTAGAAAATTAAATGAAATTATTTTTAAAAACAGTTGTATATAAAGAAAAAACATGGCAGAAGAAGCTAGAGCAGGATAGAGAGTCAAGAGGGAGTTGTTTTTTAATTTGGGAGAACCTAAATTTATAGCTTATGGGGAAGGAACAAAAAAAGGCAGAACTGAAGATGGAGAAAAAGAGGACTACAGGGTAAAAGGGAATTTCAAGGGAGGAAAAAAGGAGCTCAGAAGGAGGATCTAGAGCAGTGGTTCTCAACCTTCCTAATGCCGCGACCCTTTAATACAGTTCCTCATGTTGTGGTGACCCCAATTTCATTGTTACAAATTGAACATAAGTAAAGCGTAGTGATTAATCACAAAAACAATATGTAATTATATATGTGTTTTCTGATGGTCTTAGGCGACCCCTGTGAAAAGGTCGTTCGACCCCCAAAGGGGTCGAGACCCACAGGTTGAGAACCGCTGATCTAGAGGAAAAGACTGGCTGAATCAACAAGGGTGTGATTGGCTGAATAATGGCCCCTAAAGTGTCCACATTCTAATTCCTGGAACTTATGAATGTTACTTCATATGCAAAGGGACTTTGCAGAGAAGGTTAAATTAAGGATCTTGAGAAGGGGAGAGCATCCTAGACTATGTAGGTGGGCCCTGAATGTAACCACAAGTACCCTCATAAGAGGAAGGTCTGACTGCCATGGAGGAGAAGAAAATATGATGACAGAAGCCAAGATAGGATGATGTGCCTTAAAGACAAAGTTTGCCAGCAGCCTTCAGAAGCTAAAAAACGGCAAGAAAACTGATTCTCTTTCAAGTTTCCAAGATAGGCCAGGAAGCCAGGACAAGTGAAATGGGGAAACTGAGACAGAGAGCTGAGCAAACTGCAGAGCAATTTATAGCAAATACAGAAGGTCACCTCCCTAGAGATAACATCTAGGCCTCAGCTATATTTCAGCTCCAGACCCATAAAAGCCGCAAAACCAGGTGAGCAACACCAGGACCAGCTTCAATGACTAACGACCCCCTGCTCTGACACTGACCAATCCGTGGAGACCATGGCCCAGGAGGAGCACACCTGGAAAACTGATGAATATTCTGCTGCTTCCCCTGAGACCTCCCCTAAGATTCCCACCTGTGAGAAAGAGATAAAAGCCCTCAAGACAAAGGAGAAAGCGAGTGCTCTCCCTCTGGGAGCAGCCACCGTTCTTCCCTTTCCCCTCTTCTCCCCACCAGACACATATCTCCTAAACCCTAAAGGATCCTATGAGACTTGCAACCAGGGCAGCAATGGGCAGTGGCAGTTCATCCCAGGAAACCCCCTGGCCCTGGCCCCAAGGCCCCCTTTTCTCTGACTTTCCAGAGAATTAAGGCAGCCCAGCCTGGGCTCTCCTGTTGCTCCTTCTATGCTAAGCTCTTCCTTATTTCATTGTCCCCAGCTTTAATAAATGTTTCCTCATAATCACCTGGATCCGTGCTGTGAAACCTTTCCTGCACGAAGTCAAGAACCCACACACTACTGGCCAGCCCTAGGCAGACCTGCCCATAGCCAGGTCCCCTGTCTGGCAGCACTTCCAGAAGAAAACACGCTGCTGACAGTTTGATTTGAGCCCAGTGAAACTAATTCCAGACTTTTCACCTCCAGGATATAAGAGAACAAATATGTTGTTTTAAGCCAATCAGTTTGTGGTAATTTGTTCCAGCAGAATAGAAAAAGAATATAAGGGACTCTTTAGGAGCTTAGAAATGGGCTTTTCTCCAACACATTCATCTATAAAGCCAAATTCAGATATACTAATGTTTAATTATAACTAACTTGAATGCATTAAAATTTTAAAATTATTATTGGACTTAAATATAAATGAATTGAAACTGAAAATGAACCTTGCTTTAACTCAAGCGTGTCTGTGGAAACCATAGACACATGTAAAAGCAGGCGGTGCATATAACCTAATTCTGTTTAAGAGTAGGAAAGGGTGTTTACTTTGGTGACTTTGATGGCAAGCTATAGTTGTTTCAATTGTCGCTTTCCTAGTATTGTATACCAAGGTGTGAAATATCTTGCACCAAATATCTTACAGGTAAGTAATGTGCCCAGTGTCATGCAGCTAGTAAGTGGCAGAGCTCTTGGCTCCATAAATGTTCTGATAAGTACCTTTCGGGTTCACTCACCAAAATTTGAACAACAACATGAAGAGGAGCTACAAGATCCAGGACAGGATCTGATCAGGTAAAATCACCTGGATCTGTTGTAAGATTTCTGTTTTCTTTGTCTAGGTCCCCAGTAGGTAGCCCCCAGTTTTTTTTATCAGAATTTTCTCTTTCACTCTGAGGCACAACCTCACCTTTGCAGGGTAGTGACATATCCATGCATCTGACTCAGCATCTGCCTGTAGTCATCACCACCTCTGCTTCTGTTTATGTACGTGGCTGTGGAGGCCTCTCTACACTAGTTAAGGTTGCCTACTCACTTTCATGGAACCCAGGAACTTATGAACAAAACAACAACATAAAATCTTTCAGAAAATAAAACATAGCACATCAATTGAATAAGAAATAAGTTTTGAGCCCTGGCCGGGTGGCTCTATTTGTTGGAGTATCCCATACACCAAAAGGTTTTGGGTTCGGTTCCCAATCAGGGTACAAACCCAGGTTTCAGGTTTGATCCTGGCCTGGGGCAACTGATCAATATTACTGATCAATATTTCTCTCTCACATTGATGTCTCTCTCTCTCTTACCCTTCCTATCTAAAAATCAATCAGCATATCCTTGGGTGAGGATTAAAAAAGAAGAAAGAAAGAAGTTTTGAAATAAAACAGGGGCTACTTACACGGGTGGACTATCACCACAATACTTTCCAATTCTTTTAGCGTCGTTGACTTCTCCACCATTAAACACCGCCACATAATCATATCGGCAGTAGTTATCGCGCTCAACATCAAACTTCTCAAACTTTAATTCTATAAGCTTTAGTGAAAACACAGAATTAGAAGGGTCAAAATAGCATTGCCGAATGTCCTCAAATAGAATTCTTCCTCCCCCCAGATTTGTAGGTACCATGATTGTCCTTTGTAAAAATGCATTCTGTTTAAGTTATTCTTGCTTGTTTTCATAATTCTTCTGTGGTATTCATATTTCTTGTGCAATTCTTTTGATTTAATCTTTAGTCATTCCAAAAGATCATCTCACTCCCAGATCAATCCTAGTTAAGATCTTAAACTTAAACCTATCAAACTAGGGAATAAATTATTTTCAAAAGTCCACGGGGTAAGCTTGGTCTATTCCCATGCTAAGTTCTGTCCTGCAATTAACATATGAAAGGGGGTCCCAGAAAGGGTATAAATTCATATAACCACTCACTAATGAGCAGTGGACATTAGACCTTCTCTGTTGATTGTTTTACAGCAATGAATAAAGTTAACTGTGGGGAACTTGCACAGATTCTATTTTTTAAAAAAACAAAAGAAATTATAAAGCATACTAGCTTTCACAGCAGACCACTTGCTCTTTGAAGAAGTGTGGCCTGTTTGCACTGGCTTGGTCAAAGTGATGCAGGCAGACTGTTTTTTATTTGGTGACTGGGATGGCTATTATTAGTATGAGGACCTGATGAGTTTGTTATGCGAGCAAAGGGTAACCTTGAATATATACATGTACTTGGGTACTTTTATCTTTCCACAATTAGTGGCTTCTACTTATAAAATCTTCCACAGGGTTAAACAATTTCACATAGGGCTTATTTACCATTTGTATTTCAAAACCTGTTTTGAAAATTGTAATTATGGAATAGGAAAGTGAATCCGTGATTTTGCAAGTCAGATAGTGCAAAAGCAATTTGAATCTGGGTCTTTATATGAAGAAAGACCTATGGCCAGCCAGGCCTTTCTTGCCCTACAACAGTAGCTCTTGAGAGTTGGGCCCCTCACACTGTCTACACAATTCACACATGAATGCTTTCTTCATATTTTCAGGAAATCTCACCTGATTCTTTGGGGCTAGAATGTGCCATAAGCAAGTGACTCCTGCAGGGTAATCACGGTCTGGCCAGTTGGGGGTTTTAAAAGAGCCGGAAGGTCTTTCAAGGCGTCCTCCACAATATTGATCCCCTGAAGTTATTAAATATGAAAAAAATCCAAGTTTATGTCCTCATAGAGGTTATCCCAATGCAACCATGAGGAGATTAAGGATTTGGAATATTAGGTGATAGTATAGCAAATAAGGACAATTTCAGAAGCTCTTAAATTTTCTCTTAAAAATAGTCACATAGAGAAGAACCAAGATGGCTGCATAAGGTATATACCTGTACGTGTCGCCCCCCACAACCACATTAAAACTACAACTAAAAGACAAAACAGTGATCATCTAGAAACCACGGGAAAGCTGGCTGAGTGGAAGTTCTACAACTAGAAGGGAAGAAAAAAGCGCATTGAGGCTGGGTAGGAGGTGTGGAGGCACCAAGAGCAGAGGTACGGAGGCGCGCGAACCAGGCTGCACCTGGGTGCGTGGTTTTTTTCAATCTGGAGATACAAGCTCCCAACTGCACTGAACTCATTTCCGGCAAGACTCTAGGGACCCACACTCCTACAGGGAGAAACTGGACTGTTTGGTATCCGGTCAGAAAGCAAGGGTGGCTTTCTTGCAGAACTGCTCGCAGGGATCATTGTTACTGTGGGGGCACGGGACTTGGGGAGTCGGGGACGTGGAGACACTGAGATGCAGAGACTCGCGGAGAGGCGCGCAGTCGCGGAGAAGGCTGATGACAGCCATCGCTGTTTGCTCTGCCCTGGTGATTCTCTGAGACCCCACCCCACTCAACTTACAACCCCACCAAAGCTGTGCACAGCGGCGCAAATGAATCACTTGTCCTTTTGCAGCCTAACCTAACAAACCGCAGCTGGGTCAGAGAGCTCCAAAATTTCCAAATCCCAAACAAAGAGGAGAAATCTGCAGATATCCTGGTAGCTCCTGCTGGGTGGACTCACACAGTGGTTGAATTTGCACCTCCTTGGAGATCCAGGAGCCAGTGTACCCAGTGGTCAGATACCAGATTTCAACTCCTCACATGCATAAGTGACACACTCAAGAGGCAGACTCAGTGAGCACCAAAGCCCCACTGAAGCAAGTCCTGCCCCATAAGGGTGTCTCCAGCACAGCAGCTCTTCCACTATAGACACAGCGGGTCCTTGCAGTCAATTGGCCTGGAGGTCATTTCCTCCCAGGGATACCAACAGCAATCAAGGCTTAACTACAACAAGACTGTACACCCAGCCCACAAAGGGGTGCACCAAGAGTGTCCACCTCAGGTGATTGGGGAGGCTGAGCCACTGGGCCCAATAGGACACCTAGCACACAAAGCCACTCTATTAACACAGGGAAGCAGCCAAAATGTGGAGACAAAGAAACATGTCACAAATGACAGAAATGGAGGAAAGCAAATTACTGGATTTAGAGTTCAAAAGCACAGTTATAAGGTTACTCAAGAATCTTCTACAAACCTCCAAGGAACTTAGTGAGACCTTCAAGGATCTTAATGAGAATGCCAAAAAAATGGAAAAGGACTAGTCAGAAATTAAGCATACACTGACTGAAATAAAGAATAATATACAGAGATCCAACAGAAGACTAGAGGATCGCAAGAATCAAGTCAAAGATTTGAAATATGAAGAAGTAAGAAACACCCAACCGGAAAAGCAAAAAGCAAAAAGAATCCAAAAATATGAAGATAGTGTAAGGAGCCTCTGGGACAACTTCAAACGTACCAACATCCGAATTATGGGGGTGCCAGAAGAAAAGAGAGAGCAAGATATTGAAAACCTAT